AAAAGTTTATTCATTCATTCATTCTAGAAACCTGTATGATAGTAATTAAAATGTTATGAGGTTAATGAACATTTACATTCTAAGCTTTCTATTTATCACTTGATTCTTTGAATGTACAATGTGACCAGAAGTGGAATTGTGTGTCACAATACCTTAAAGAGTACTCCTGGCTGACGAAAATTGTCCTTCACATCATTCCATGCCATAAAAGACAACTTCATAGAAGTCATATTGAAACAAGTTGCTTACACTGTGATGGTGTTATAGTCATTCTCCTGTGAGAAAAGACATTGTGGCGGTGAGCTATCTATTTCTGAAGGCCTCTCTTACTGCGGAAATGAAGAATTAGGAAAGACCAATCGAATTAACTGTGCATCTCCACCTACCGTATGATAGTGTTTCATCAAATATAAGATTCTTTATACAAACAAATTTCAGGAAATTAAAGATGTGCTCCTAACTGGCTGCTTCCCATCAGCTTCAAACAGTTATCCCATGACCAGTGTGATAACACAAAAGTAGTGCCAAGTTTCGTTCAGTTTTTACAAACAGGCATTCAAGTCCATTGTGTGGGCAGCTGAATAGTGATTATAATCTGTTCACCTCCAGTGCTTGTTGCCCCTTTCCCTTTCCTAATCCGAAGCCCATAAGATCCTAGAATTTGGAAGCACACTGTACCTATGAGACATGCGCACCAGACTGGAGTATGCTTATTTGTTTTATACAACTAAGAAAACAAGACGAATCTTTTAAATTCCCTGAACTAGTGTTCACTTCTCATTAGGTTTTGAACAAATAAACTCACTTCTGTCCTAAATCCCAATCAGCAATCATTTGTGTTTTTGGTTCAAATGGCTAGGTTTGTACTTCCATCTGGTATAAATAGCGAGGTGGGCGGTGCTCATGGAGTCATACTCTAAAAATATCAGCCACCATGATCACCTCTGTGAATTTCATGTGCATATTCATTTGCTTCTTATTAGCACCACCTCTAGGCAGATGATGAGTTATTGTTTTAAACTGAGACTATCAGCATCAAACCAACTGTGGACAAAGAACACTTTGTTACAACTAATCGATTCAGAAGGATGTTAAGAGGTAAATGCGCTTGATGAAACACTTCTGTATATGTCACCCATTCATTAAAATACAAGCTTAAAGTTATTGGAATGTAAAGTGGAAATTCAACAGAAGAAATAGAAAAAGAAACGTGGAAAAATGATGTCTAGGGTGTTCAACTTTTCAAACGAGGAATATTTTCTTTGTGAAGATTCGTTAATTTAAGACTAATTATTCACTAGTATATATCGAAAAGGTTTTTACGTTGTCTTCGTCCTTTTTTCTTTTATTTCTGCGAAGTTAAATGTCTAGTCTTATTTTCATCCTAAAGGATAGTTTTTCATCTGAAAACGTTTTTACAAATAACACATGCTATAGTCTACTGATTGTGTTATTGAAGTGTCTTAATGCTTTTTTTGAAAAGACGATAATTCCAAAGAAATAAAGGTTTCAAGCATTTCTATCAACTTACTTTCTACCATGGGCTGTTCCACGTTGCCAGATAAACTATCTAAAATGAATAGACTGAGATTCTACATCTGTTTTATTTTTTGCCTTGTAACTCAACTGTCTTTCAAATTAGCAATCATGAGTGTTGATTTGTAAGTAACTAAAAGCATATTCACCATGAAATAAAGCTGAATGGGGTTTCAACCCACTCAATGTTCAACTTTTAATCAAATCTGCAGTGCAACACAACACGTAATGAACTTGTTTTAAATTATTATAATTCCTGTGGGTTCTTAGTGGAATTTACAGCTATAACAGCATATAACCATTTCATTCCGTTCTCTACAGTCCTCTTTGGCTGACTGCAGGATTGCCCGCAGTCTTTTATCTCCTTCCCACATAATTTCCTCCTCGTCAACCTGAGATTAACGCTGAACTCGGATTTCCCTCGAGGGTGTGGGGAGTGACATCACTGACTAGTCTCCTCAGCGTGTATACAATGTATCTCCGTTTCCTTCTTCATATTCGTTGCTTGGTTTGTTGACAGAGTCGCTTGTAGTTTATCACTTCTTGCCATCTAATCTTCAGTGTAGAGAGAAGGCATCTGTTATTAAAAGTCTGATGTAGCTTGTAGCAGGCTTTGAATCATGTAGAAACAATGACTTGTTAGTAGTGTTAAAGATCCAGTATATCACATTCATCTTTGAGTAGAATATAGGAAAAAACTTTTATATCTTATGAAAATAAACTAGATTGAATTTGGTCACGCTACCACAAAAAAGAAAGGATATATTTTGCTTTTAGTCAAGTGTAAATTTTAAACCACACGGTTCTAAAGCTTTTAGTTTTACATTAACTTGTTTCCATGACATAGGGTGGTAAAAATTTGCATATTCTAACATATACACTTTAAAATCAACCGGACGTTTTGATTTACTTAACTAAATTACATTAATTTAGCACAAGAAATTTCCCGCCATTTAATTTGTAAAGTCTATAAATAATTTACCAGATGAGGTGCAGTATTCGGCTAGCTAAAAACTGCAAATATTTATTTCTTTTCTAAAGGACAGTGGATAACTTAAACAAAGTCAGTAAAGCTGTAGAGATACAGAAGTAATTTACTGTTGTTATGATGTCCTCTTTTTATTCACTAGGTATTCTAGTAATATGCTAAAGTAGAGAAAACACGAGGTGTATAGTACAAGTAAATTAGCAGTTAAGCGAAAGGGTAAATGTATTCTTTCACATAAATACACGTGGACAAACATAGATTCTAGCTTCAGTGGGAAAATATCTGTTCAACGAGACTGATAAATAACGATGCATTTGGATGCAATACGAAGTGCCCCAAACTTTTATCAAAATCATCCAACAGTTTTGTGATGATACCACATATTAGGTGACTCAGAAGGGATAACCGAATGAAGCCTTTGAAGTGAAGACAGTAGTAACAGAAGGCTGTTTACAGTCAACCATGATATTTCTAGCTGTAGTTGACGGAACTGTGTGGTACAGTGTGAGGAGCGAGAAGACGGGAATACGTTGGGGCGATAAGAAGACTCTAGGTGACTTGGAGCTGGAGGATGATTTATATTTAATCTCGAGTAAATTCGAAGATTTTTATGCGAAAACCAACAAGTAGGCAGAAGGGGCTTGAAGGGAAGTCATGACTTCAGTTGAACATAGAAAATGGAGGTGGTGAAAATAACCAACTAATAACAACGAGCATCAGTCATTATCGGTGGGAGGAATTTGAAAGACGTCGCTTCTTTGACTTATCATGGCATTATCAATTCAACAACAGGTGGCACGGATGATGATGTCGAAGGTAGGATCTGAAAAGCAAGATAGAGCTTCACTAATCTGTAATCCGTGTGGAAATCTGTAGTGCTCAGCATAAAGAACATGATTCGGAATTTTAAAACTGATGGTTGCGAGAATAAACATTTCGCCAGTGACGTTTCCAACAGAATGCAAACGTTCATCAACATGTCTTCGCTCCATCCCAAAATTAGGGTGGTCAATGAGAAAGGGTTAGCATCAAGGAAAACTGGTAAAAAATCAACCAAGAACCTATTGTCTAACTAATAAGCCCGAGGAAATGGAGGTACATTGGACACACGCGTACAAGACCGTCGAATGACGTCACGACCTCTAGTTCGAGCATGAGATGGAGGAAATGAAAAGTTACTGTTAGTCATGCAGCTAAATAGAAAGGGGCTTAGAGAATCTGATGAAATGGAAAAGTGGCGTTAGAGCTTTGTGTTTCACTCACAGCTCAAGGGGATAATAAGAACACCATTTCAAATGATGGTAATGCGAATGCAATTGTGATTCTCTAAAGACAACCAACCATAGTGTAGTTCATTAAAGAAGATGGTCATTTTAATCGTAGAGCATTCTGAAGACTTGACTTATTTCGAAGTCAGCACTAAATATATTGTCTAGTAGAATAATGAAAGCTCAGAGTGACGGGTTATCGCCGAAAAAAATTTTCAAATGTCAACAACAAAATAATACAACTACGACAAACTATACTTAAATAGTGTCCGTCATAAAAATTCGTTAACGCATTTTGCAACTTACATTCAGCCGACGCTCAGTTGGCATAACGGAATGGGCCTTTTGAGTGAAACCCCAATCGGAAGTGATGGGTTAAGCAGTCAAAGAGGTAATTATCTAAGTGAAGAATAAAGCTTGTGGACAGACGTGGGACCACTTGAAAATGATGTCAGTGAAAGAGATACAATACTGATGTGCTGTTGAGGCCTTATCTTGTGCTCGAAGTGATAGATATGAATATTAATAATAATATCCCAATGAAACTTCATCAAATACAAGTTCACATCAGTAATAACGTTGTGGAAGAAAATGTATGGTGAAGTGTTCACACAATTATTATTGAGCCAGATGATGAAATCTTTGTTACTTAGCAACGAAATAAACAATCCCTAAATAGTTAAACAAGGTATTTGTGCTTAAAAATCTGTCAGCGTACACATTAAAGTGCAAATAGAAGGCTGCTTTCCACTTAATCATTCTGCCTTCAATCGCATTTGCTTCTAATTTAAACTTAGAGATATCTCCAGACAAAATATTTCATAAACTACTGAGTGAATCATATACTCTGAAGTGCTATTATTCAATTCACTTTATTCTATGTAACTAACTAATCTAGCCGGTTATTCATATATTATGCAATTCAATGCTGGTTTTCATTATAAATGAAGTAAAATTATTATTGGTCGCTTCGACTAACCAATCAGAATTCAGCTACGCTTAGTTTTATATAGATATATATTTTCCTGATTCTAAAATATTACTCAAACATGAGACTTTGAATTTCCATGCTCTGAAGTGTTTTTATGCAGCAGCAGCAGAAGAAGACGACGTTTAAAAAAAAATGGGGAATTTATTAATAACTCGAACAATTTTTATACCTCGATAACACAAATATACATATAAGCATAAATTAAATTAATATCACTATGGATATGACCTTATTATTCATTTCCTTTGCTAATACATTCTTATTCAGTTTCGTGATAAATTACGAGCTGGATGTTGAACCAGTTAAGAGTAAGTTAAAAACTTTTTTAATTCATTTAACAATAATACTTTTGAATTACGTTTCAGTTTGCTACCGCAAACAGAAATACTGAAAATACTGAATGGTTGATGACATTTTAGGGAGCAGTAATGCTCACTGGCTGAAAATATGTAAAACGAATTTTGCGAATTCTGCGAAAGTTTTGAAATATTCTATGAGTTAGGATGTTTATGACAGGAACGAATAGTTTGAAATGCGGTTAGCTATAAATAATGTAAAGATATTGAACACAGTGAAATTTGTCAAGCTAAGTAAAGAGGAATATTACTTAACTCAACATTTCATGGCATCTATACCAATCACACCACAAACCTATCTTGATTAGCATCTAAGTTACGAACGAATTTACAATACCCCGCAGTCCGTATGAGAAAGTTGCTGACAGTAATAAGCACTTTGAATTTTTAGCAAAAATGATGTCTCTGAGACTTCAGTTATATGTTCAGTAGTTTGAAACAGGGTGAATTTGTAAGTTTAACAACACCGAACAACCAGTTACGTTAAAATCAGATTCTGATACTTCACTTTTAACCAGGTAATTGACCTAATTTTCTTCGTCCTTTTGTTTCCAGAATGAAACTTTGGGCTTTAAGCTTGACATCTAGAAGTTTCAGTAGGCGTGGTATTGTTTGTAGGAGATAGAGTTGCTAGGCTTGCGCTCAAATTTCCCTCTTTTTCAGGTTTACCATCGACACGTACATTGCGTGTGGTTTGGGAATGAGTTGTCTAGTAATCGAACTTGGGACCAGGTGCGTGGTTGGCCAACACTTGACGGCTGACCTAACATAAAAGATTTTGAAGTAGGAAGTTATCCAGCAAACAGAAATTTATCTCTGACACGTAGACGAATACTTCTCTACCTATTGTTGCCTTATACTTTATAACACTTAGAAAGCAGTCCACTAATAAATAAATACATATCAGTATTTGCAAACTGAAGTGTTTAATATCAAGTTTGGCTAAATAATAAATAGTGAATGTCAGTCCTACTGGTGATCTGTAATCCAGGATGTTTATGACAGTTGTTTTCTGCTATCAAAGCTGTAGTGTATACGTTTGACTGCTAAATCTAAATGAGTGTGTTAGCACCTAACGGGAAATATGCCGGCGAAATGGCCTAGCACTCGAAGACAATGCATGAGAAAAATTAGATTTGACATTCCATATAGATAAGTTTATTTTATCAATAACACAGGGATACGGTATTGATGACAGGATGCCTTTTTCAACACATTTCGTTTCTCAAAAACTTGATGCAATTCAAATGGGAAATGAAAAAGTGATTGGTTTTGATGTAAAACGGTTATACACAGGTTTATTCCAATTAATGTGTCTCTAAAGGCAGTCAGGAGTGAACTAGACATTGGTGCTAAACTCATAAATAGGACAGAACTGTATAGTGATGAAATAATATTAGGTATACAATTATGCCTCACTTCCACTGCATTAAAATTTCTAAGTACAATAAAAATCAGGAACAAATTATAGTCACAAAATCCACTTGTTTTACATTTCCCTGAATTCTATCAACATATTAAATTGAAAGACGCTTGTTACTGAGGCAGTCAGAGACCTTTGCGCATTGGGTAGAGACATAGATACACTAGTAGTTGACGGATAACCTATAGAATTCAAACCAAGTTGAACTAAAATCCCCAGCGAGTTGAACTGTTAGTCAATTAATCGGTACTTTAAATCTGTTTCGTCAAATATTCTTTATTACTTATGCATTAACTGATATGTAAGTCTGACAGTGTAGAATTTACAAAATTACTTATTTTGTATTATTTCAAATAGTAATCATAACCTCTTCTGATAAACGTAACTTTGATTTCTGTATTCGATGGTGATGTTAGTAACCAGGTTTGTTAGTTCAAAGACCTGTAACACGGAAGTTAATTCTTCGTTTTGTGTTGGTAACAGGTTATTTGGTCATATACCTTCGCTTTAGATTTGGCGAATTTTTCCTTATGAATTTGAAGAGATTAATCAAACCTAAAAGATGGGGTGGAATATCTGTACTAGACTGGTGTTGTCAGCACGCTATTGATGCAGTGGATTGGGGCTAAAGTAAAGGGATAATCCGAGTTGTGACATGATTTGAAACCGTACCCTAAGAATCTTTAGTCGGTGTTCAACCAACTGAACTAAGAGATTCCTTTGTTAACCAAATCTTCATTTCAATACAATCATTATGAGTAGTTATCAGCTGCCATGTGAGTGGAGTATAACTTATTGGGGGATTATTATCACGCAGGCTTCTCCTATAGTTGAGCGTTAATCTAGTAATTCCCATATTTGCAAAATCTCAGAGAAATTGAAATGAGTAATTCCAAGGTTTCGTTGAACAAACTGGTTCTAACTTCTTCAGGGAAATTCCTGAGTTACTGGTTCGAATCCTCGATTTTCTCAAATCTTTGTTCAATAATTTTTTGCATCAAAAGTCAGCTTTTATTTAAGATATTTCTGGTACAGCGTTAGAATGCTCACCGACCATGCAGATGATCTGGGGTTCGATTCCCGGCCGACTCACTCCTTTACCTCTCTAAGCCAATAATAAAGCTGGTAGAGAGGAAAGGTTGGGCATGAAGCTAGCAACCCCATCTTGTAAAAATAAACCCTCCTACCGAAACTTCAAGCCTCTAGCGTGAAGCCCTATGTTCCACTGGGAATGTGAAGGAATGAAAAATAACTTTGTTTGTCAACTGGGATTTATGTGCAGTAATTTGAACCAGTGCAAAAAAATAACTCTTTAGTCTCTCTTTCTCACCCATATTTTTATATTCTAAGAGGGGAAATTTAAAAATAATCGGTGTTATCAATCACATAAACAAATAAAGGTCATGTTTACATGTTTTCTTCTCTACTCTTCCATGAAAATTATCTTAAAAGAACTAAAAATTATTATAAAATTATAAAGATCCAATGATTCCATAAAAGAAATTATACAAATAAAGCATTGTTCCATTTTTTAGGAGTAAGAAGGGAAACAGAAATTGGGTTAAAAAGATGATTTCCTTATCAGTGGAAAACAGCTGATTTGTTTCTTTTTTAATTCTAAATAAATTAGCAAAATGAAACTATTTTTCTTTCTGAAAATAAAATAAAAATATTTTTAGTTGACATTTTCGGGAAATAAATTTATCATATTTTCTTTAATTGTTAATCTCAGTGAGGAAAAGTTTATTCGTCTGAGTATTTTAAATGAGTTCGAATAAACTTTATGTGTACAATCGCTTATCAAAAAATAAATATTTAGGCTACATATGTACATAAGAGTTTCTGTATATTTTTATGTAACCCAAAATCAATTGAGTGTTACAGTGGCACATCTGTAGAATGCTCGCTAACCACACAGGTGGTTTGGCGTTCGATCTGCTTTACTTCGCTAAGCCAGTAATAAGATTGATAAAGAGGGAAGGTTGGGCATGAGGCTAGCAACCTCATTCCGTAAAAATAAACACCACTGCTACCGAAACTTCAAGCCTCTAGCTTGAAAACCTATGTTCCACTGGGAACGTAAAGGTACAAAAAAATTTAATTGAAATTTCGGTTATGAGGTTTGTGGGAATTGAGAGGGATTTCAATTTCACTTTTTAGATTCCCTCACCAACCAACATTGTTTAGAAATATCACTGAAAACTTAGGAGGACTTGACAGCTGTTTCTTCCCAGTTTGACACTTTTAATATTGCGTCATCAGTGATCAAACCCGGGACCTCGAAGTTATGACACCAAGCCAGTTGGCAAATCAGCCACATGGGTTAGAATACTATGAACCTTGAATTCTAACTTTTTAGGTTTTTGATATGGTACTGTCCTCACCAATCCTTTCGGTGAGCATTTCACTTCACCTTCACATGGTGGACGTCATGGGTCATGACTTCGCACTACACCCTCAGAACATCCATCTAGTAACCCCCAGTGAGTTGGAAATTGATATTTAGATTATAAGATTTGTAGGGATTTGGTATAATTTCAATGATCTTTAACTGATGTTGGAGCTTGACGAATTCTAGCAACTGAAATTGAAATAACTGAAATGTTTGAATTATAAAACTCAGCTATTGAAAGTTTTATGTACATTCAAATAAACATATGTAGTCAAGTGATATTAATATTTTATGTGGTTTCGAATAGTGACTGAAAAAATAATCCAAGGTTTACCAATTGTTTGATCTTGGTATGTTTTGCAGTGGATACAAGCAATCTCATGCTTAATAGAAGAAAGTATGTAAGGGGCGGGGGCGAGTCATCGTTCATCTAACAAGATGACTTCTCATGATTCAAGTTTTCTAACTCTTGTTAATTTGAAATGGAATAAAAAAATTATCAAATGTCATCAATAACTGATAACATCTGGACGTCATATTTTTTACGTCAAAATCTTCTTGCGAGTAGTTAAGTGTATATTTTTGGTCAATGTGAACCTATGAGTTCTGTAAACAAATAGGGTGCAGCAGGTCAGGTGTGAGGACAAATACTCGCCGAAGACATTGGCTAGGGGTCGCGCTATGTCGTGAATTGGCAGAAGTTAGAATCCATGGACCATTGGATCAGGTCCCGGTGGCTTAATGGTCTACAAGCTCGCCTTGTATTCAGAAGGTCCTGGGTTCGAATCCCGGCGGGTACGTACTGATGAAGAGTTCCAAACTAGGACGAAACAGCTGTCCAGTACTCCCAGGTTTTCCAATGGTTCTCTAACTAATGTCAGCTCATGATGAAAATCCTGTAAATAGAATATTAACTGATTCATTAGCCGATGGAGTTCAACTCAGTAGTTAGGAAGTTACAGTAACATTTTTATCGTCAGGTTGTATGTACTTTTTCTGGTTTTGTCAGAAAGTAGGCGTCAAAAAAAGAAACAACTACTCAGTTATCCTTGATTCGCAGTCCTTCTTTGTTATGCACATCCATTGGTGAAACTCAGTAGAAAACTAGTATTCAATATAGTAAGTCTGCAGATTAAT